TGAAGGGCGAGACGGACCGCGTGACCGCCTACCTGGTCGAGAGATAGGAAGCTTGTGAGAAAAACAGTCGCGTCGTTGGGGCTCTGTGACGCGTTGCCCTCTTTCCAGTCACGTCTGGGTCTGGCAGCAGAGAGTCTACATAAAATAAAAAAATAAAACTACGTAGCGGGGCTAGCAAACCCAACAAGACAGTAGGACCAGTTAGACAGAAAGAGTAGTGGTTGATATACGTAGGTAGCAAGATAGCAAGACCAGCAAGACGCCGTCAGCCAAAACATTCCCCCTTAGTCCTCAAGCCTTGGATTCTCACGTGGGCTTCTTCCTCTTGATCAGGTACGTACACTGGTCCGCAACATGGGACCGCTCCTCCATCTTATCAAAGAGCTTCCTTGGACGCGACGAGAGTGATGCTCTATCCAACCCGTAACTGTCTCATCATCCCATAGATGATAGCCACCACGCACTTGTTTACACCTGAAGACTAAGGGGCGCCACAGCCTACCGCGCCATATGCCAGTCTCCGGAGCAACCCAGCGCCAGTCAAAGGCAGGCAACCAGGCGGCAGCCCGAAAGGATATGCGGCTTCCTACCTACTGGCTGGCATTGTCCATCATGGGAAGGAGGTGTTCAAATGTCTTTGGAAAGTCTTTATTTTGTGCGCTGTTCATATCCCATTTATGCATGGCGTGCCATCTGTAAAGGGCTTGCTTTGCTGTACACGAGATTGGATAAAGGCAAGGTGCCTGGGGGATCACTGTCACATTCGAAGCCAGCTATATACTACTTGTCTGGACAAGGTTTCATAGCAGATAGTGACAACGAGGGCAAACGTAGGGGGTTATCTTCCAACAGTCTTGTGCACGTCAAACAGCTGTCCATGCCCACAATGTAATTATCAACAACAATCACCACGCCGACATCATTGCTCAAATCATCACTATTGACCACACCATAAATGTTGCCCAACAACAGTAGTCCACATCGATAGCCCCATGCAAGTATTAACAGGCAAGTATCTACGGTATCGCTCATATCAAGACATCCGTTTAGCGCGGCGACGGAAACAAATTCAGGCGTTTACCCTGATAGCACATGAAGAGTAAGCGCTCTGAAGGTCAAGTCTGGGAAAGGAAAATCCAAGACATCACGATCACGTCCCTTGGCAGGCATCAGTATGCATAGAGTTGTACCCATCTCCCCCCGGGGCTTTTCTGCTGGCGCAGACAGTCACTTTCTGTCTATCCCGAAGACATGAGGAAAGACATGGTTTCAGGTTGATCTGATTGGACCATCTTGCTACCCACTTCCATAGTATTAGAAGAGAGGAAAGCAAGATATTGGCCAGAAAACAATGGATCACCAATGGAATCGAAGGCCAAAGGGATTTCCGGAGAAAAGGCTGATAGGACTATACTCAGAGCAAAAGGAAAACCGAGACTAGAACACGTCAACCAGGAGGTAGCCAGGTCTCGAGGTGGATCTGCTGAGCATCAGTGCACCATCGATAATGACAAGGAAAAGAAAAGGAAAACCGCAGCGTTGACCAGGTCCGCCACATTGACCAGTTTCGTAACATCTCACTCGTCGCATTATTCAGGAGCCTATGAGACACTGTGGTAGTTTGTATTCAGACAAGGGTAGTTAAGTAGTTAGGGGAAGAACCAGGAACCAGGTTATTGAGGTTGCCCGATACTGTGGGAGCGTTCTCTGCAAAGGCGAATGGTCTGCCTAAGTACAAAGATCAGCAACGCCTAACGCCGAAAATGTAGGCAGTGACTGCCTCCGTCCATGCCGAAACGAACAAGAGAAAATGGTTGGCAGTTTCTGTTTAAGAAGATCAGTGATATCGAAAAGAGACTCGAGACTTCGTGATCTTAAGGGGATTAAGGGAGACCAGGAAGGATGTCGAAACCGCCGGGAATTTTTCGTGCTCGGATAGAGAGTGAGAGTTATCTGTACAGGTGAGAGTTGTAACCACGATCGATCTGCAGTCGAAGGTACTGTCACCAGTGTCAGCAAGTGCATCGAGTGAGGGGAGAGGAAACCAGGTAGGGACCGGGGAGACCAACGGTCGAGAGTCCTAGATGTAGTAGTCAAGCAGGCGATAGCCGCAATTAGCGTCCTAAATCGCTTTGGTGCGAGAGAACAAACTGCTGTAAACAGCGTCGACAACAGGCGCCGCTGTGATCATTCGGCCGTCGAAGTAGCGGCCATTCAGGCCTTTGATGGCGTTCTCACCGCCGGCCAGCTTCTCGAACTTGAGGTAGATGTCACCATCCGAGTTGGGATCGATGGCAATGTGAAGTACGTGGCCGTACTTCTCCTCCGCCTCCTCACGGACTTCGCCCTCGAGGGTCTTGATCCACTCATCACCCTCGGGCACACTGCAAGAGAAGGAAAGTTAGTAACTTAAACCACAGCTCGACGAAAGGAAGGTAGAGGATAACATACGCCGAGGGGTCAAACATATTGTGAAGCACAACACAGCGGCTGGCCATGTTGACATTCAAAGGCAGCGGGGCTTTAACCTCGGCCTTCGGCTTGATCACCTGCCGCTCGGTTGGAGCAGCTGGCTCATCAGTCCGCGCGAGCTTTCGCATGAGCGCGTCGCGGCTGTAATTATTGAAATTTACGCCGGCGACATCCGTATCGTCGAGGGCACTGGCACCAGTGCCTTTCTCGCTCTCACGTGCACCAGCGCGATCAAAGTTTGCGGACTGGCCGCCGCGTCCTCCAGCACCCGAAAAAGCTGAGCCCTGGAACTGAGGGTGGTTCTGGCCCTGGAACTTTTGCAGGAGATTTGCAGTTGACTCGGGAGTGAATTTGTCATTGCCAAGTCCCACGCGGATCGGGCGGCCGGCAAGATCGAATCCGTTCATTTTCTCAAGGGCATCGCGAGCCTGGGCGGCATCACGGAACCTGCACCATGTTAGCACGCATTCAACGATGATGACTCGTGACCCGAAAGAACTTACTGAACAAAGCCATAACCGCGGCTGCGGGCGTTGTCATCCTTCTGGAGTTGCACGAACTCAAGCTCACCAAACGGCTCGAAGACAGTTTGCAAATCCTGCTCAGTGATACTGAAATGGATATTGCCCACGTAGAGGCGGTGGAATGGAATCGAATTTGGATGGTTATTGGTCGGTTCCGTGGTGCGGACTTGGCGGTTCTTCTCCGCCTCGGTCATCTGGACGATGACTGGGATTCCGAGGAGCTTTTGACCGGTAAGCTGCAGAGCAGCAACCACGGACTCCTCGCTCTTGAATTCCACGTAACCAACACTAGAAGATTTATGAGCTACATGTAATGCCAAAAGAATGCAAGAGGGAGTAAGGAGAACAGAAACATACCCCTTAGACCGGTTGCTCACACGGTCTTTAACGATTTGGGCCTCAGCGACTGGGCCGGCTTTCTCGAAGAACTCCTTGAGTTCCTTAGTGCGCAGACGCGCCGCAAGCTGCTGGACAAAAACAGTACGGCGATCGCGCTCGTCTTCGGTCGGCTGAGGCGGGGACGGGTCGCGGTCGCGGGGCACACTATGACGGCCGCTTCCACGATAAGCACGATCGTCGTCACGACGACGGTAGTCGCGGTCGCGTCGGTCGCCTCGATAGTCGCGGCGATCATTGCGGTCTCCACGGGGACGGTAATGGCGGTTGGGGGAACGCGAACGCGAGCGGTCTGAGCGACGATAGGAATCGCCTCCTCCTCCACGATAGCGGCGGACGCTGCGGCCGGAATCCCTGCTACGGCTTCTACGACGGCTCATAGCGCTGCCCGCCTCGCTACGAGGGCTACTTCCATGGCGATTGCTGTGATGACCGTTGGGCGACTCGCCTCCTCCGTTGGTGGTCTTTGGCTGCTCCTTCGACGAAGCCGTCGAGTCCAGCAAAGCCTCGACGTCCAAACCCGACATTTTGGGAGATGGTACGACGTTGCCCCGCGCGGTCGGTCAAATGCAAGATTGGGGTGAGTTTTGTTTGATTTGTGCGAAATGCAGGTGATTTGAAGATGGATGCCTCTGTTCGCGAAGTTTGGAGATGCGGGAGTGGGAAAGGTGGGAATCGTGACGCGGTGTGCAAGGAAGGAATGCGTGGCGAGAGTGAGGAAGGAAGGTGCTCAAAGTCAAGCTGGCAGGTAAATTGTAGAGGCCTGTAAAGTTCAGCCTGCGGGGTTTGGTGCGGCACGTGACAAAGCTTGATAAGGGGGGTTTTGGAGGTGAGAGAAAGCTACGCACGGACCTTTGCCGACTCGCTGAAGGTTGGTTGCTGGCAGAACCTGAAGCGCCGGAGGCTGCGCGTGACCACTGACCACCCAACAGACGAGAACCTATTGCTGGCAATGCAAAGAACAAGCAAATCTGTCGACACGATCGAGCCCTGGCGGGAGGATATTGGTTACGCTTGGACACGCCGGCGGACTGCCTCGGCCTAGGTCATCACCCCAGCGCAGTGACAGTCAGAAAATCCCCGAGACGTCAAGAATTATGGTGCCTTGTAATTATAAGCCTGGAATGGATATGTAAACCGAAGCTATCAGGCCGCTTGCAACACTGCTGCAAGAAGCCTGCAAGCTGCGTCAAGCCAAACACAACTTAGTTCTAAGGTATCCGTAGCTTGAAGTTAACGCCCAACCTCGGCGAGAGAAGACAGCATTCATCATGCCCCTCTCTGTCCTGTATTTCTGCCTCTCTACACTTGGATTCGCCCCTCAGCAGGCAGAAGAATCTCACCCGCCTAACTCACATCACGCACACTTGATAGAGCTCACCCCCAGCAACACTCCGCCGTCACTTCCCACGACAGTGGAGAGCCGCCTGGAAGCACAGCGCCAAACCCCACCTCATAAACCTTCTCCCCGCTCCACTGAGCCCACTCTTACAATCTGAAAATCATTCAGCGGCGCCCCCAGAACAGTCAGCAGGGCGGCCAGGCGGGCGGGCCAACTAAGGCGCATAGCCTACAATAGCGGACCCAAATAGCATCCACTAAAGTAAAGGCAAAGTGGCCGAGTGGTTAAGGCGTTGTGTTTAGGAAATCTGCCTTCTCTTGAGAAAGCAGACGTCCACAAACCGCAATGGGAAACCGCGCGAGTTCGAATCTCGTCTTTGTCATCAATTTTTAATTCCATCATCCCTTTCTAAAGTGATGGTTCTTCATGCTTTTGCCCCTTCTTCCCTTTTTCTTTTTTTTCCTCGCTCGTTATTGAGTTCCTTGAGGAGACCAACCAACTAATATTTAGATTCCCAGATCCACCTAAAGAAAGTCTCGCGCGCACACGTTCTTAATCGTGAATACCTATTATATCTGTCTCTCCAGGAGACGTGGATTGGTTCGGGAGGGTGCAGAAACTGGTTGGGTCCTTGATCGTGGGCGTTCATAACAGGGGCGACGGGCGGTGACGAGGATACCTGAAATCCCCTCCACCACGGGCGACTTGATGCCCGGCTTGCCCCCCAGTTTTGGGATGACCTCAGTGGTGCTCTACGTGCGTAATTGTGTTCCTCGAGCGTGAAGCGCTGAAAGGGCACCATACGACAACGATAACAACAATGCCACAAGGCGAACCTTACAGGGTACAGCTGCAGGGAACTGGCCAGGAAGTCAAATGCGACAAAGAAAGAAACACTACCACGTGCAATGGTCTGGTGACCTTGATTCAAGGAAAAATGGCGTGATTTCTACAGAGTGGTTAGGAAAAGTAGGGAGAGAGTAATGCCGGTCCTATGATCAGGAGCAGAGCAGGCCAGCCAACTTATATGAGGTGAATTGGCTGAAAGAAACCAAGAAAATATCGCACTGGGCTAAGTCACCAAGGGCGTAAATGCACTTTTTGTTGCTCTGGGCCCCTTAATACGAACATTGATGGTGATGATGGTTATTTCGTCTGTTCAAAGAGCGACTTCCACAGTTAGATTTTTCACCAAAGTGAAACGACTTATACCCATCACCACGCACACACTTAAAAGTACTATGGTGATGATGAGTCCAAAGTTGTGGAAGCCGCTCCTCAATAGAGACGACTGATGAGCAAATCGTACATACATACATATGTAAATCCCAGCATAACAGAGCACCTCCCCGCTAGGCTATGTCACTCACAAGTGGATAGGTCAAGACTTCAAACCACCAGCACTCGAACTAGAAATATCGGCCATCGGCACACACCCGCATTTAGACGTGGAAATAAAAAACTTATATTGCTGCTCGAACTCATATAGCAAGCAAGGAAGAAAGGAGGGAAGTAGTTGCTCTCATCAAGCCCCTGGCGCCGACTGCTCTAATGGATGATGAAAGACGAGCCCGTACGACATTACGACACTGTCTCGATCCGGTCTCAGGGATTATATTTATACATCAGGGCAGTCGAACACTGTGCTTAGAAAACAGTCTGGCAGATAAAGGTGACCCAGGATCTCGTAGACAACAGGACCGCTGTCAACGACTGTATTGACTGGGCGTCAGGAAGGCGGATGCTGGGGGGATATTCTACCAATAAGCAAAGACACAAGTGATGACTAGACCAAAGCAAATTTTGGAGGACTGTTTGCCTGCGAGCCGTAAAACCTAGATTGAACACTATAACTAAATTACTACGAGAAACGAAACACATCTGGTGGCTAATAAAGATGAACCACCCGTAAACAAAACACCCCGCACCAGCCATCACCAGTACCCATCGTGGACAGAGACCATGTCGCAGCAAACAGCACCAACCGCTCACATTACCTATATATCTACATTATGGCCACATTTCTCATCTACGAACCCTCCACCATGGTTGGAGTTCACAGTACGTCGCCGTAACATTATAACCCCTACAATAGACCGAGAAGCGGCCATCATCGCCAGTACTTGGATGAATGGTAGTGCGCCGCTGGGTCCTTCATAGACACCTCGAGCTTGCCGCCCCAGTGGAAATGTGGATCGCCCAGTAGCGGCCGCAGTGGAATGCCGTCTCGCGATGCCCGTTGGCGCGCCGCGTCGTACGCTCTGCGGGTCTGGACGCGATAGGCCTTAATGGCGGCGACAACGTCTCGCATTCCTTTGAGTTCTCGCTGCGTTGGTTTGCGCATGCTCTCGCCGTTGCTGTGGCCGCGAGACTTTGCGCCGCTGGACGCCGAAGGCGGGGCCAGCATAGCATCCCAGGCCGCCGAGAAGATGTACGAACCCGGTGGAACGCCGGCGGTGACGTGACAGGGAGAGGCCGGTACGGGGTTGGCGCGCAAGGCGGGATGATCCGCCAGGAGCCGCATGTACTCGCCAACGGCGTCAAGCTTCTCCCTTTGGTGGCCGTAGCCATTCGGGCCAGTGCCTACCCAGACGGGCACGGTAAAGGCAGCTCCATTCCATATGCCCGCGCCGGTGGCGTCGAGGTATTCCAGCCCAGACAGATATGTCTCGGGTTGCGGATATCGTTCTAGTCGGGCCGATTCTTGGTTCTTAGGCTCAGATGCATTGCGAGGACTGCTAGCACTAGCGACAGACTGTCTCTCTACATACATCAGTGGCTTGGTGCCAGCGTCAGTGGCGTCGGCTGTGCTTGGCGAAGATTCCCAACCGCCAGAATCTCCAAAGAAGCTAAATTCCTCCGTGGTTGTTCTCATCAAAGCCTCGGAATCGAGGTCCTCGATAGCAGAAAGCTCGGGCCCGAGCTCTTCGCTAGGGTCAGGCTCGAATTCAAGGCGGATATGCCTGAGGCCTAACAAAATAGTTGGTGCGTGCCTAGCTGATGTAGGCTGTGCATCCTGAATCGCCCGCTCTTGCAGGGAGACAAGTTTCAAGAACCCAACCAACTTGTCAATAAGAGGTCCCGTAGAATATCTAGGAATCCGTGTCAGGGTGAGCGATCGGAGCCTGGGGTTCATATCTGGGAGAAAGGCTTCAGGATAGGCCAGCTCTGCTCTCGGCAGGAGAAAGGTCTCAGCGAGCCAGAAATTCGACATAGTGGGCAAGTCGTCCGTCTCTAGAGATGGAAGTTGCGTTACGAGAGAGTGGTGGATTCGCAATACCTGTAGATTCGACGAGAACACAGGGCGGAACAGGTGCGTAACTCCAAGGATACCTGACAACCTCGCTGTTGGCGAGATCCACTTGGGAAGACAGCCGTCGGGGAGGCTGAGAGACATGGAATCACACTCGAAACGATGCAAATTCCCGGGAGAAGACCGGATCAGCTTCGCAACGCCCTGAGCGGAGATGTTGTTCTCATTCAAGTACAGATGCGTGATGCCCCCGTGGCCGCGACATACGTCCAGATCCTGAACTGGGTCATCTAGCGAGTGAACGGGTGATCCCGGACTGTCGCCACAGAGCAGATTCTTGATGGAAGTTGCCGAGTCGTCCCTGATTCCCCGTCGGCCATCTAATCTAGCACCGGCTATCCCTTGCGGTACCGGTCCGTGGGCGTCTCTGGTGTAGACGGGAGCATCGGCCAGGTATCTCTGTGGGTGAGTGAAAGAGGCACTCGATTGCGACTCTTGAACAAAGCAAAAGGGGCCGTAAAAATCGCTACCCTGTCCTTGGGGCAAGAGCAACCTGCCTTCAACGTCGGAGCAGGAGGTTCCACGGCCTCTCAACGTCACGGCCGGGAAGGTGAATTGATACATGTCATAGAGTACATTGTCTGAGAGCTTGTTGCGGCTCAAGTCCAGACTCCAGAGCTGGTCCTTAAAAGTTTGGAAGAGAAGTGACGCCTCTGAGTCATCCACCTCGCGCCCTTGCGCTTTTAATATCCGGAGACGCGGCAGATTGTCAGGGCTCATCATGCGCTGCATCAAGGGCGTTTTGAGTGAACCAGGCACATCAGACACATCAAGGTACACAAGGCTTTTCAGAAAGCTACACTCAAAGAAAGCTGTCGGCAGCGGAGTGCGGCAATGCGCCATGCTCAGGAGTAAAGGGGGTTGGAAGTGTGGCGGCGCAGCGAGGGTGCCAGAAGCCCACGCCGTTGCCAGGACGTCCGTGTCGACATCCGAGTGTCCATCGAGCAGGATACAGCGGAGCCGGGGCAAGGTGAACGGCAGGTGGCGGAGAGTGCCGGTGAGGGTAGGGCCGCTGGAGTCTAGCGAGAAGACAGAGCCCGGACGTGTTAAGCGGCGCAGATCAAGACAGGTGACGAGCGAGCGAGTAACAGGCCGGACAGCCTTGAGGTGCCTCAGCATGAAGTGTTGATAGCGCTCGAAATCTGCCCGGTGTCGGCTGGTTAGCGGGCAAGACAAGCAGTGGGCGAAGATCAGAGCCAGGTCCGGCTGGGTACTTGCCGCTGTCTCGGTCCAACGAGAGCCGGGTGGCGACGGCGAGGGGGTCATTCCAAAGGAGAGGAGCGAAGTGGTGATAGAAGCGGCGCGACACAAGGCACAGTCGCGCGTACTCTCGAGCGGGGATGAAGGGCGCGGCAAGCTCCAGCCAATCCAGGAGCCGGGTGGCATCTTGGTAGGATGGCGGGTTTGGGTTGCGGTTGTCGGCCATGCCTGCCACCTCTCGATGTGCTCAAGTGTTTAGGAGACGTGGTGGTGCATGGCAGCAGGGCCTCTGTCAATCCAGCAATCCGAGCGTTATGATCTGCTGCATCTTATGTCCGAAGCGTGGCAAGGTAGACAACGACGGCCGAATCAGACATTCTACATGTTTTGCGTGCTGTGTGTTGCAAGCCAGCAATAAATTGCCGTGAAAACAGGTGGCATTGGAGGATGGGAGCTCCACGAGTTTGAGGTTACTGGTGCTAGATCCGGATTGTTGCCTTGGCGTGAAGAGGGGAGTTGAAGTGTAGAACACCAAGGGCTTAAAGCACCCAGCCAATCACAGCACCAAGTTTTAAGTTGACCGGGCTTATCTAAGGTAATTCCTGGGACGTTTTCGCAAATCTCCAACTTGACCTGCGCCTTCCGAATTGGACTGGACAAGGAAATACGCCATTCCACAGAAACTGTATTGTTCCAGTGGGTTGAATCGGGAATTTACCGCCTTGCTGCCACCAGGTAGGCGGCCCGGCATTCAGGGTTATCTCACCCTAACCCCTTTACCAGTTTCGTTTTAAGAGACCTCAAAAGTTGCCGACAAGACTTGTGGGAATTCTATTAAATTGGAAGAAATTGGGTATCATCGCCCGTCA